TGTTGGCATTGCGACTGTAGCCACGACCATTCTTACCATTCAAGTTGCCGATTCGAGGGATCCATGTTTGGGACACCACTGCTGGTGGTGGTGGTGGTGGTGGTGGCGGCGGCGGCGGCGGTGGTGGCGGTGGCGGCGGCGGTGGTGGCGGTGGCGGCGGCGGCGGCGGTGGCGGTGGCAGTTGCTGTTGCCGTGAACATGAACGCCAAAGAATGAAAGCGTGCAAGACAAGGTGCATCGTGTACATGGCCCTGTATGCGGTTCCGTAGTACGTCCAGATCCACAGACGTGCCTCAACATCTTCATGTTCGTCCCTGATGAATTCCTGCAGCCTGGGGAAGAGCGCAGTACGAAGCAAGACTCTGTGAACTTGTGACATGCGACAATGCACGTTTTGCAAGCCCGGTACAGATTGCCCATGACGAGACCACCCACCATCATGCAAACCGCCAGCAAAATCATGGACCATGCCAGCGAAGGCAAGAATGATGAGCATGCTTGCACCAATAATCGCAAGCCTGCAAAAGTGCTGCATGTTGATTTCTTTTTGGCCTCCTGCAGTCCCTGTGCACGTCCGGGCCCTGAAACAAACGCAAAGTCCGCATAATGCGTATGGCACGAACCTTGGCTTGTTTTCGGTTGACTGACACAGGCTGACACAGGAATGAAAGGACACTCACGAGGAAACTAAGCCTGGGGCCATTTTTGCGAGCCGCAGTACGCGAAGCAGTTCAATATTGTGCGAGTATCCGGCCAAAGGAGTGAACACGTATAGGTCTAGCATGGGAAGGGCAACCAGCAGAACGTCAACGCAGTTCAAGATATCCCGGAAGTAAGCCCACCTGACCAGCACCAAGTCAGGTGTGCAGTTGCTCGTTTCGCAACTGTCTCCTTTCTTCTACGAGTATTTGCTCTTGTGAACATGAAAGGTCAGGCAGGTGCCCCTTCCTTCTAGCTCGCAAACGCCGGTCCACATCCATGCCGAAACATCTGTGCCTTCCGCCCAACAAAGGCTTTCCCCCTCTGTCAGGCAGGCTTCGGACTGGCGCACTTCCCACTCCCCCCCCACCCGGCACATGTTGGTCAGCGTCGCGGGCTTCTCGAGCGCCTGCCTCTCTCGCTCTCCCTTCCTCCCTTCCTTGCGGCGAGTTGACAGCCAGGGATCTTCTCCCCAGCACCGCAACTCGAAGGTTTTGCGGAATGGCACTGCCAACGGTAACACTTCACAGACCCGGATCAGCTTGCCATGCATCGGGCTTGGCACAAGGACTGTTGCGCTGCCCTCACGCCACATTGGCCCACCGGCCCACCTCTTATAGTCACTAGCCGGCATTGGTGCAGGAAGAAGTCTGCGCTGCATGCTTGCATCCGCACAACCACCTTCAAAACAGACGTTGTCAGAGAGATGCCTGAGGAAATACAACCTCACGACGAGCTCCAGCGCAAAGATCCATGTGAAGATATGCTCCAGAACCTCGCTGAGACTAGACGCACTCGAGAAACGTCTCGCCACTCTGAAATTGTCGGAGCGCTGGCTGCTCACAGATTACGAGTGAAAACTGTACTGTGTGCAGACCGCGATGCTAAAAACACGACCTCCTTGGAGCTTTCTGCGCAATTCCAGGCAGGTGTCAGCCCAACAAAAGATGCGTTAGCTTGCCCGTCGCACTCGAGTTCTAGAGCCATGACGATCGAGTTCCTCGGGCAAGGACCGAGACAGATTTGCATAAAACACTGACTGTGATTCGCATGCCCCTCTTCGTCCCCTTTATGGCAGGCCACAAGACAACCAGGATGCCCATGATGCAGTCCACACGAGTCGTCTCCTCCAACCATGCGAAAGGCAAGGCTTGCTGCACTCCGGAGGGACTTGCAGTTCAAGAAGCACTTCGAGTTCTCCGGCCGAGCGTCGAATGTCTCCATCAATCCCATGAGCTGAAGGTGCAGAGGAGGTTTAGCGTCGTCTGAACTTGTCCTGCCAACTTTTGGTTTCGAGCTTGGCCTCACTCAGCCCGGAAGATCCCGAAAAAAAACATGAAAGGAAAATCCTGCATGCACCCAGTGTTTCTGTGCAATACTACGTACCCCGATGGGGACCGCTGACCACGCACACAACCACACTCCATCCACCCCTTGGCGAAACAGAGGCTTGGTTCACGACAGAGGCGGGAGGCTCGAGTAAAGGGATCTGGACGGAAAGGAGCCAGGACGGACTCGAAAACTGAATTAGTCTCGCTTCCTTCCTTCCTTCCTTCCTTCGCGCCTTCCTTCTTCGCTTCGCCAGCGCACACGTGCTCCCTCTTTCTTTCGCCAGGGTTCCGGGCTCAGGGGTTGCCCCCCTCGCCTCCCTCTCTCTCCCTCCATGCCGCTTTCACGGGGCCAAGCAGCTAGCATGCTATCCTTTCAGCAAAGTCCGGCAGTTCAACCTGTTGGCACCAGTGAACCAGTAACAAAGTGGAAGGTCCTGGATTTCCGCCTCTCGTTCGCCAAGCGCTTTGAGAAGGAAGAGGTGGCCCCAGACCTCTAAAGCAAAGCAGCCGAAGATGCAACCAGAGCTCCTAATTAACTCTTCATAAGTTGTTGCTCGCAAAGCTGCACGGGACTCGGGATATCCACTTCCACGGACTGGACGCCAGATGTCGAAGACGAGGCTTTAGTCAGGCATGGCATCCACGGGTCCTTCCGTGGTACTCCGGTTTCTGCGACTGACGTCTCTAAGGGGACGGACCCAGCCTCCAGACTCTCGTCGCCAAATTCGACTCCTCCATGATGGGGTTTTTTCGGCACCTCAACTTCCCCTCACCGGAAACAGCCTCCCACGGAAAGGTGGCCAGGGCGTGGGATCTCATGGCAGGCGTTGCTTGCACCGGGAAATCACTGCAACACATGGAAAGACCGTGCCCAGGCATCCAGAATATTAAACACGAGGCCATGCCACCGCATCGAAGGAGGGCAGCTCTCCATCTTCTTCTGCGCATGGTCGACATTGAGCTTGCAACGCGAATCTCTGGAGCCGATCCTGAAATTCAGCCTCGGCTGCATGCACAGCCGCGGCAGAAAACACAAAACCGGATGCCTTCGTCTTTTCTGGCCGTCACATCGCTACCTCATCTTCACGGGTTGCTTGCACTCGGGCGACCGGCTGGAGCATGCCTTTGACATCTCCTGGCCTCATGTTCAACAGTCCAACAGCATCGCTACTGCTACAGTTGATGAATGGGACACGAGCCGAACGATCTAAACAAAAACGACATAGATTGGCCGAGCCGCGCCAAGACTTGAACCAGCTTCTCGTGATATTGACCTAAAGCCTTGCGTAACTCATTCTCGTACGAAGAGCCAAGCTGGCTCCTTGGCTTGTACGGCTGGCTAAAACTATAAGCACCTGGGCCATCTTGAATCCTGCCAAGAATCAGCTCACCTATCAAAGATTCGGACAGCTGGTCCAACCCAGCCCCTCACGAGGTGCACAGAGAAAGGAGCTATCTGTCCATCACTATCTCGCATATCAATGCCAGCTCTGCCTGTTGGTATGTCTGCAAAGGTAACTCCGGGACCTGCAAAGCAGAGAGCATCTCCACACAGTTTGTGAGGCGACGGCGGGGCACCTGTCTCCACCATCTGGCCTATTGGGCCGAGAGGGACATGAGAGGGGGATTCCAGAGCTGCAGCCAAGACATGGAAAACGCATCTTGTCGAAGAAGTGATGTGGCGTACGCGCATTCGGGCGCCCACTCGCGACAACACCTCTGACCATCCTGCGAACAACACTAAATCCTGCGAAACACTGCAGCCCACTTCCTTATACTTCCTTGTCGCTCAAGCCTACCGCCCAGCTGCTGGTACAAGGTTTCGGGCACAACTCTGCGTTGGCTGTATGCGCCTGCGGATTTGTCAGCCTTGCAACCCTTCGCTCCTTCAAGCTGGCAGGGATTGCATGCACCCCGCACATGTCTGCCCCGGGACATAAAGGCGACCGACGTTACAGCGGGAGGTTCGTTTCGGACATGAGAAAAGGATGAAGGACAGATTCCACGATTGAGGAATGGACGTGCCGGTAGATTCGTTTGAAGCCATGCACATGGTCCAAAAGCAAGTGCGCATCACAGTGCCTGTGTCCTTTCCAAGATTGGTCGACCAGATTCTCAATCTTCATACGATTCATACGGTCTGAGTCTGGCGTGGGGTTGTTGTTCTTGGCTAGCCTGCTTGGTGGCAAGCCAGATGTCCCGAAACATTCCTCTTCGAACACGAAACATGTCCGATCTACTTCCGCACAAATGCAGATCTAAGCGGGGAATCCGCCACACTGCACCACTTCAATTTCCAAGCTACATGACTTTAACATGCGAGCGCGACCTTCCTTGAAAATAAAGAATCTCAGAATAGTCTCCCTACAATTGCCCAAACCAAACTGCACTACACCGGCCATTTGGCACCGTCTCGCAACACGCAGGGTTCTCCGAGTCTCGCAGATGGGTGGGACATGATTTGAAGCTGGCTATGTACCTGACCGGGTATCTGTAAAACCCCCGGCCTAACAGTACGAATGTCCATCCGACTGTGAATCTCGGATGACCCCGTCACACATCCATCTGCGAGCCGGTCTGGGCATGCACCAGGCCAACTTCGGGCCAACTGTGAAACGGAGACAATGAAAAAGCGCTGGCCCTCAGACCTGTTCTTCGACTCAGTTCCTTCGCCTCGTCGCAGTTGCGGCTTGCAGGAGCCTTGGATACGGCTTCCAGCAAAGGCAACAAAACAACACAGGCTTCTCTTTCTTCTGGCGAGTGGCGTGATCTCATCGGCAAGTCTGGTTCTTGTCGGCGTGCGGTGCCGCCTGCGGCACTTGGCTCCCCTGATGACCTTTGCATCCTCCAAGGATACCGCAAGCTGCCTTGTCAAAACAAGACCGCCAGAAGCAAACGGAGACTCCGGAGAAAGGACGCTCTCAGTGGCAGCAAGTTGCTCAACGGAAGCCTTCAAGAATCGAAGCTCGGCTTGGATGACAATCCTGGGTTCATGACACACATTGACACACGTCCATTCGCCCCTGCATTGGCCCCGTGCACATCTTGAAAGATGTGTGCATGCGGGCGCGATGCTGATCCATGGCACGAGCTGGACCCTTGCACCGCAGGATGCCTTCGATGAAGTCCTCGTTATGTCGCGTGTCTCACTCCCCGACAAGATTTCTCGCCGTCCGCGTTGGGCCTGCCTGCCTTTGAAGATATAGTCAGTCTACCCCATTGTGTTGTTGAGTGAATTTGCGTGCACTGCCTCATGTGCGGCCTGAAGGCACGTAGAATCAACAGCACACGGGCCAAACTTTGAGCAAACTTGGAGCTAGGTCGTTTAGTGGGCTTTTCGGTTTCGGGAACGATGGCCAGAAGCAGAGCCTCCAAAAGAGGCAATCGTTCGTCACTCTGCCTTTCGTGTCCTTTCAAAACGACCCTGACTAACAAAGGCTCACTTGTTTGCATATATACAGGAGTACTGAGACTGTTGCTCAGGGGGCTGTTATGTGGACCTGTCTAAGCATACGGACGTACATGCGGAACTCAAGGAGAACACGGCACAACCAAGCACTTGACAATGCGTGACACCAGTCAGATGCAGCATCTTATGTTCAGGAACTGTGACGAAACTTTGACAAACAACTCGCGGGCTGTGAGCTTTTAGGGGGCTTTGGGCATACAATAATTGATACAACTTGTAGAACGTGCGTCTCGGATACATCCCGACTACCGGAAACCGGCAGTCGCATGACCAACTCCGTGTCCTCATACGTGACCTGCCCTTCGCCTCAGCACCCGCAGTGCGCGAGGCGCATGCGTGACAAAGAGAACTTGCGCACGCGCTGCACAGCATGCACGATTCGACAAGGCACGGAACATGACATAATGCAGCTTGCGGGCTGTTTTGCAGCATCCGAAACAGGGCTTTACTTTCCGGTACAGCAACTTCCAGGCTCTCAAGATACGCCTGGACCTTCTTGTCTTCTAACAAGTCACTCCTTAAATCGGTCAGGGTCGGAAGCAGCAGCAAATGATTAGAGAGCACACTTTCATGTCAGGTGCTCCAGAAATGTCAAGCCGCATCTCTTCTTCTGACAACAGACCATCCCCGCTTTCATCCATAGCTTGGAAAACACCTGTCTGGAGCAAAGGCAGGCGTCGGAATTCACATTGCGCGCTGCTACTGTCTGCAGATCCGGCCTTCCAATTTCTGCACGAATTTCGCTTTTTTTGTCAGCCTGTCCTGGATCATCATCTCCGCATCGCTACTCGCAGCTTCCAATGTCTGACTCAGGAAAACCGCCGAGATAACTCGAATGACCTGAAGCCACCAGGCTGCGCTGTTCTGAGCTGGCTCTACTAGACCACAGCTCGTGGGCAATCTCTTCTCAGTGCTGGGCAGCAAAAACAATGAATGTGATGTACAGCAGGAAGAACAAAACGTAAACATGACTCACGGTCTCAAGCACCTCAGGTGACAAAAAAGAAAATCAACATCAAAAATCCTCCCTCCGCGCCATCCTCATAATCCTGAGGCTGCAAATGCATGCGCTACCTGCCCTCGACGGGTTTACTTGGCAGAGCCAAGTAAGCATGACCATGGCACTGGTCGTGCATAGGTAGGCCACGATCCGGCAAATGTCACCTCATACCTCAATTGCCCAAGTATGAGGTGTGCTCTCTAGCGAGGATCGTGCATGCGGCAAGAATTGCAAGCTCACGCAAATCAGCAAGGCTGACTTCCCTTCAAGCACAAGCGAGAGATAGCCTGCATCAGCCTGCCAACACTTGCTAGCATGTATAAGCCATCTTGGTGACCGGTGGTCTTAGATGACAGCTTACCGCCATTGCCACCAGCATCACAAGCTCTTACACCAGCACAAGCACCATCAACATCTCCCCAGTACCACCTGAACAATGACTGCCGCGCTCATCGTCACTCGCCACAGCACAAGCAGCAACAGCGCCATCATCAACAACAGTAGTTGCAACGTAGCAGCACCAAAACCACTACCATCGTCAGCAATAGGCGGTAGAGAACAAGACACCAAAACAGCCGGCACCAGCAGGCGAGGCTGTCACAAAGTCCGGGTGGCAGCGTGTACATGGAACGGTAGGAAGTCCCATAGTGAAGCCACACCCACAGGCGGTCACTCATCGGCTTGCTCTCGTCCATAATGAAGTCCTGGAGCCTTGCGCAGTATCCCACACACGCATATGTCTGTCCGCACCAGCTACTAGGTGCCAAATGGGAGATTCCGGTTTCTGATGCAGTGAGGACTACTGACCTCACTGTTCACTTCCCGGCATGCTCAGCACATACAGTCACATACATGTCAGGATTGTGCGAAAAATGTAGTGTGGCAAATCTTAGTTGACGAGTGCGTGCAACAGCCCTCAAGTGGTCGCTGCGTTCACCAAGTCCCACAACATCGGACGACTGCTCAAGACTATGACTAAGCAGGTGGCAATGTCCCCATCGTGAGGCCACCCATCGTGATGCACAGCCCCAGGAGCACCATTGACCATCCCAACGCCGGTAGAAAGGAGGTGCAAGCATGCATGAGCAACCGGAGACCTGCCGAAATGATGTTTTGGCTCTTAGGCTTCGACGTGCTCAACTGTTCGGACTTGCTATCTTGCTCGGCCTGGAAAGAGGTGAAAAGTCCTGCCAAGCCGAACCACTCGCCCCTTACCACGCAAGAGTTTAGCAACTAGCAGCGAGCAACTAACATTCCAAACATGACACGGACCGTGCCAAAAGGGATCTGAGCTTGACACGAGCTTCAGTATTCGCAACAGCTGCATCAATTCTGAACTCGAGCTTCTTTCTGCAATAACGGCCAGGACATATACATCCACAGCACCAATTAGCACCAGCAAGATGTCAAACAAGTTTGCGCACGAAGAGAAGAAGAACCACCTGCACCAGGCCGACGAACCAACAGTTGCGCGTAGCGCTTCCCAATGTGTACGCAAGCCTGCCTGTGATACCACGGCCTGAATATAAGCTCCACGGTATACGCAAGTTGGAAAATATGGTTCAAGACCTGACTTGTCCGAGAAATCCTGGGGCAGTCCACAGAAACTCGAACGGGTCTGGTCTTGGTCTGTCTTAAGATGCCGGCGACAAAGAGCGGCCCAATATCGTCACACTGCATTCCGTCGGGTATCCCGACATGCGTTCCGATTGAATGACCTTCACATTCCAGCTCGAAAGCCAGCTCCAACGTGTTCCTTAGGCTGCCAGACCCTAATGCTTTCTGCTCAGTCGCATAAAGAAAGTGTACCACTGAAAACACCCTGGCCCATAGCGCTTGTTGGCACAAGGGCTGTGCTCGAACGGTCATGGACGCACGCAAGAGCCGGAAGTCATCGGAGACACGCGAAACAGTGAGACTTGTCCGAGGCCTCTTCCGGTCCGGGGTGGCGAGCAGTCAAAAGGGTTGAACTTTGCTTTCTTTCCCTCATACAATAACGGCGGATTCCTGTGTGCGTTGGAACCAGCTGTGCCTTTGAGCTTGTGCCCCCCCTCGTACCTTTGAGGGATCACGGAGCATCTGTTCCCGAGACAAGTGCACAAATACAATCCGGCTGCGAGGCTTCGGGGGAGGTTCGGGTAACGCTTTTTCTTCTGCCATGATGTCGTGGGGAAGAGTCGTCCATTCACCCACCCACTCACTCTCGCTTGCTCTCTCATGTGGATAGATGCTTGTGTGTGGGGGCCACGCCCAGCGCCCCAGGTGTGCATACCGAAAAGCCTCACAAGCGAGTGAGAAGCACTGTTGACCGGACGCAGGATCGACCATGGAGACTAAGGAGCACCTTGGGTGTTAGGTTCATGTTGTAATATCGAAAGGCTACGCAACATCACTGTGACCATCTTAGTGCGTGGTTGCCCCCTGTATTGTATGCAAACAAAATCCTTATATTTAAGCCTTGGGTCAGAACGACTATGATTGAGGCAGCCGTGTCGAGCATCACCATATCCTCCAGCCAACAGGGAGCGGGGGTGATGCACAGTTCACATCAGCAAACACTACCTGTGATGTTTACTCAACGGCCTGATTTGCGTAACTATGCTGCCACCTGAGCCCGCCTCCTTGGATGAAGGATCAGAACCCGTCTTACTTCTAGTTTCCCATTCGTCGTCAGTCCTTGGTGTTCGATGAACTAGCCATCATTTCGGTGATCGATGCTGCGGGCGCCATCCCCGATGCCCTGGAGCGGCTGCTCAACATGAATACAAGGCATAACAAAGCCTCGGGGAAGCGAACAAGCGTGCTCCAGCCTGTCTGCATCTGAATCTGTAGTGGGTTCAAGTAAACCCCAGAGTACCCCATGGACCATCATACCCGAAGAGCCATGATGTTCAATATGCTATATGGACCCTAAACCTGCAAGGGCGCGAGGGCCAGGATCTCAGTTGGGAGACCACTCCCCGGGCTTCGGGCTGCATCTCCTCCGCCTCCCTAAACTTCAAGCCCCGAACCTACATACACCTGAACACACTAAACACTAAACACGACCCCATAAAACATGTGTGTAGTGTCTCTCACTGCCTCATACACTACACCTTTATCTATGTCTTCTCGCTCTCTCTCTCTCTCTCTCTCTCTCTCTCTACTTACTACACTCCGGACAACCAGCTGTTTTCTCTTCTTCCATTGACCCTTTGCTTTTCAGTCCGACCCTCAGTCGAAATTCAAGCACCCGTTCGTCGGTGCTGGATTCAACGATCGAGGACCAACTTCTCTGTGAAACCAATCCTCTTACTCTGTCTCTGTCTCTGTGTGTGTGTGTGCGCACGCGGGCGTGAGTGTGCGTGCGTGAGCGTGAGCGTGAGCGTGAG